AGGACAAGAAGAGGATTACTGCCCTAACCGGTTTGGCTCAGTGGATAGAGCATCAGCCTGCAGACTCAAGGGTCCCGGGTTCGGTTCTGGTCAAGGGCATGTACCTTGGTTGCGGGCACATCCCCAGTAGGGGGTGTGCAGGAGGCAGCTGATCGATGTTTCTCTCTCATCGATGTTTCTAACTCTCTATCCCTCTTCCTTTCTCTCTGTAAAAAATCAATTTTATATTTATTTATTTATTTATTTATTTATTTATGAAGAGGATTACTGAAAACCAAGTTGCTGTGGCTGAGGGGACCAAGCAAGGGACCTGGGTACAGAAGAGGTGATGGACCAGGAAGACACAAAGGAAGAAGGCAGGAAGCTGCATTAGGATTCTCCAAAGAAACAGGAGAATATATATATATTAAGGAATGGGCTCCAAAGAAACACAATCTATATAAAAATATATAAGAAAGTGGCTCACACAATTATGGAGGCTGGGAAGTCCCAGATCTGCAGTTGACAAGCTAGAGACCCAGGAGAGCTGATGGGTGAATGGAGAGAGGGATGGGGGATGGATGGATAGACAGACAGACGGACACATGCCTAGCTGGCTGCAACAGTGACTTCAAATTGCCTGAAAAGCAGGAGAACCCATGGAGTAAGTTCCAGTTCAAGTCTGAGTCCAAAGGAAGGAGGAGACCAGTGTCCCAGCTCAAAGACAAGCAGAGGGAGTGCATTCTCCCCTACTCCCTGTTCTCTTCAGGCCTTCGGGGGATTGGATGAGGCCCGTCCACACTGGGGAGGACAATCTGCTTCACTAAGTTTACCAATTCAAATGTTAGACTCACGCAAAAACACCCTCACAGACACACCCCGAATAATGTTTCACCAAATACCTGGGCACCTTGTGACCCAATCATGTTGACACATAAATTAACTATCACAGAAGCACCACCAGCATCTAGGTCCCACACGGAGCAGCTGCAGCTGCTGTCGGACTTGTGTGCTGAGCCTCTGAGCTGATGCTTGGAGTGAGGCCACCTGGGAAGAGGACTAGAGCCCAGAGGGAGTGAGGAGTTAGGAGTGGGCAACAGAGTTCTTAGAAATTTTGACTAAGCCCGGCCAGTTTGGCTCAGTGATAGAGCACCAACCTATGAACCAGGAGGTCACAGTTCGATTTCCAGTCAAGGCACAAGCCCGGATTGTGGGCTCAATCCCCAGTAGAGGTGTGCAGGCGGCAGCCAATCAGCGATTCTCTCTCATCATTGATGTCTCTCTCTCTCTCTCTCTCTCTCTCCCTTCCTCTCTGAAATCAATACAAATATGTATTTTTTAAAAGAAATTGTGATTAAAATATAAATCTATTTACCAACAGAGAAAGACTAAATATTGACATGGCAAAAGGGATTAACAGGTGGCATTTCACAACATGTGTGATGTGACTTTATTTAAAAATGTGTCGTGTGTGCATGTGTGTGGGTGGATGTACACACACCGAGAGGAAAGGCGGAAGGGCAAACACAAGCATGCTAATTGCAGATTTTCTCTGGTGCTGGAATTCCAGGTGACTTTTACTTTCTTCTTTTTATCTTTCTGAATGATCTTCTCTTTTTATTTTCACAATTGCAGTGCATTACTTTCGCAATCAGAAAAATCAACAAAGCTCCACCACCTTCATGCTCTAGCTCACGCTCCACCAACACTGAGCCAGCACATCCCCGGACACACCCTGCTACTGGTCTCTGTGGGTCATTGGTTCCCACTCTCCTCTTTCCCTCTCTCCCTAGTGAATGATTACTCTCCATAAGGCTCAGTCCAGGCACCTCTCCTCCAGGAAGCCAGACCTAGGTCTCCATCGCCTGAGTGTAGTGTCCCTGCTTCAGCCTTCCATTTACACCCGGTGCATATCTCTGCCATAGCACCTCCATAGAGAACCATGGTTGTCCTCCATACATAATAGTGGTTGTCCATGGAGGTGAGTGTGTCTGTCTTTACCACTGGAAGATGATCTCCTCTGTCTCTCTCCAGGGCTCTGGTCCATGGCCACACGCAAAATCCTTGGTTGACTAAATGGACTTTTGGGGCGACCTGTTAGAACTGGATCCAGGTCCTATTTTATCATGGCAGTTAACAGTGGGCCAGGGAAGATTCAGAAAGGGAAGACGTTAATACTGTAATACACAGCAGCAGCTCCCCTCTCCTCTTTTTCTTCTCGTTTCATCTCCTGCTTTTCTTTCCTCTTCCGTCTCCCGTGCCTATACACGCCTTCCTCCTTTTCTTTCTAGAGAAGCATTTCTCAAATTTTGGCGCACAGAAGATTGGCCTGGGAAGCCTTCTAAATGCATATTCCCAGGCCCTGACCACAGTCCTGATAGTCTAGGTCAGGAATTCCGGGACCCAAGAATCTGCATCTTTTTTCCCCCATTCGTAAGGTGATTCACTTAATCATTCATTCATTATTCTGTAAACTTTCTTTTTTTATTTAATTTTAAAAATTATAGTTGACAGTCAATACTATTTTATGTTACTTTTAGGTACATAGCACTGTGGCTAGACATGTATGTAATTTAGGAAGTGATCCCTCCAGTAAGTCTAGTACTCAGCTGGTACCATACATAGTGACTACAATGTTACTGACTGTATTCCCTATGCTGTACTTTACATCCCTGGGACTATTTTGTAACTACCAGTTGGTACTTCTCAATTCCTTCACCGTTTTACTTTTAAATCTTTGATCCTGCTGGAATTAATGTTGTCCTCCCACCCCCATCTCATCTGGCAACCATCAATCTGTTCTCTGTATCTATGGGTCTGTTTCTGTTTTGTTTATTTTGTGCTTTAGATTCCACGTGTAAGTGAAATCATATGGTATTTGCCTTTTTCTGTCTGACTTATTTCACTGAGCATAATACCCTCTAGGTCCGTCCATGCTGTCGCAGTAGTAAGATTTCAAGAATCTGCATGCTAACAGGTGTGCCTGATGATTCTGATCCCACTTTAACCAACACTGACTTTTAAAATGTAGGATTTTTCATTGACCTTGTCTACTAACACTCGCCAAACAAAGTGCGAATGGTGTTACCCACAACATTCTCCATTTCCCGGCCACATTTCCTGGTCCTACAAACTCAGCTCTCTCTCATTGATTCAGACCTCACACATGTTCTGGGTGGTTTGAAGTACCTTCAGTGCACCTGACTCCCAAGCGTGATTATTTGATCTCATTACTTATATAAGAACAATAATTACCAACATCCTCAAACCACAATAACTGCCATTAAGTTCCTATGTGCCAGACACTGCAAAATACTTTCCTAGCATTATCTCGTTTAATACTCACAGCAATTCTATGAGGCAGATCCTATCATATCCCTACTGTCCCAATGAGGAAGCTGAGAGTAGGGAGGCCACGCCCAAGGTCACAAACTTGTAAGTGATGGAGTCATTTGAACCCAGACTGGCCTAACTGCACATTCCATGTTCTTCCCACTAAGGTTCCCGATTTATTCTCCTGCCAAAGATTTCCTATAATAATAGTAACAACAACAACAATAATAATATACTTCAAAATTAACTCCAGAAGGATCAAAATTTAAAATTAAAATAATAAGCCCAGCCAGCGTGGCTCGGTGATTGAGTGTTGACCTAAGAACCAGGAGGTCACGGTTTGATTCCTAGTCAGGGCACATGCCCGGGTTGTAAGCAAGATCCCCAGTGTGGGGCGTGCAGGAAGCAGCCAATCAATGATTCTCTCTAATCATTGATGTTTCTATCTCTCTCCCTTCCTCTCTGAAATCAATTTTTTTTTTAAATGAAACTTAAAAAGTATTAGGAAAACTTCGGGCACCTAACAAGATGGATGATGTCCACCACAGCCTACCTCTCTCTAATCTCTGGACACAACTAAAAACTACATAGAAGATATCAACAACAACTGCCTGGAAACTCTAAAAAGTAAACAAAGCAGAGAGAGAAGGGGAATGAAAACGTGGACAGCAAGCTGTCCAGGGATAAGTTTTTCAGGTTTCCCCGCTCTCCCCTGTGCCTTTGAACTGAAGACAAGCTTGGGAAGACCTAGTACAGACATGTTTCTGCCACCGGGAGGAGGAGTGAGGGCCCAAGAGACTATTTAATTGCAATTACAGAAAAATAAAGCTACCCTTGCTTGGCAGATCTGAATTTTGAACCCCAAAATTCATACTCGCTGATGTTTGTTGATTGAATGAATGAACAAATTGTGTTGGGAGTGGATCATGGGAATTACAGTGCAGCAAGCTCTTGGTAGAGCCGTCTTGGCTACTCTCCAAGAAAAACAGAAATTACTAAAAGGAGTATCTGCTTTCTAGTTCTTGAGTGGCCACTTATCTGTGGTTCCTTGAGTAGGTTGCAAGGTTCTCTGGGACTCAGTTTTTTTTCATCTGTAAAATGGGTATAATGATACCTGTCCTGCCTTCCTCACAATGTTATCATGAGGACCAAATGAGATAACCTATGTGAAGGTACTTTATATGGGAGTATAATAAGAGCTTGTGGATCACCCCCATCCCATGATTCAAAAAGCAAGAGAAAAGTAAATGAACTCAAGGATGCGGGTTCTGTGGTACCCTTCCTCCCAACCAAAATGTTCGCCTAGAACTGGCAAGGAGCGGCAACTGCGTTTTCCCTGGAACCACATCCCTGCTAAGGGAAGTCTATGGGCGACTGCGTTCTGAGCATTAGCAGAGCGCACTCCATCGGGAGGAAATTCTCAGGGCACGGGACAGATTTATTTTCATTGTGAAATAGTCTGTCTGCTGTGCAACAACAAACTCGGCTCCGGGTGACTATTCCCGTAAAACACGTCCTGTGCTCAGCACTGCTATTACGGGGCGGATAGACATGGCAGAGAATCAATTAAAGCCCTGACACATTAAGTGGAGCTCGAAGACCTGTTTCACAGGTTCCCCCGGAGGAAAATAATCATGCTGCATGGCACGTTGGAATCCGATCGCGGCAGGATTTCTGAGTCAAGCGCTGGGCTTTACGAGACCGATTTGAGCTCTTCCAAATCGTTTTTTGAAGGGCTGCCTCCAGGATTACGGCATTCCATTTTCCTTCGGTTCCACAGCATCATGGTGGAGCAAGAGGGATTACCATCGTGTGAGCATCCTCCAGAAAACTGTGAGTTCCCTTTAAAAAAAAAAATCCCGTACAGAAACGGGGAGGCTATGGCAGTGTTTATGGGCATGCCGATTTGGGAGTGAAAGCCAGTAACATCAGGGGGCTATGACAACTGAGTTTCTTTATTTATTTTTATACTAGGGCTCTACCACCAAAGGGGGCAGTCGTGGGTTAGTCTCTGTTTCAGGAGAAGTTCTAGAATTTCCAGGAGAGCCTAAGCAGGAAAGTGAAGGGGAGGGCTGACAGCGGGATGGAGATGCTGTTTGTGGTTCCCTGCTTAAACTGTGCCTCTCTGACGACAAGTAGGAATGTTAATGATAAAAACAACGTGTTTTTCTGGGCTCGTCCAGACATCTGTGTAAACCATCTCCTGCCCCCGCGCCTGGATAGCCTCTGTGCCTCAACCTGAGTAAACAGGAGAGATTGTGAGGCTCGGGCCGTCTGTTTTCAGAAGTGTCCCCTCCAGACGGGCGGCAGCAGACGTGACGAAGGGAAGGAGACCAAGGCCAGGCGAGCGCCAGCCGTGGTCACCGTGGAGGGACAGGTGATGGCCTGCCGGCGGGAGAGGCCTGTCAGGGAAAGGTCTGGGGGACTCAGCTGACTTCCAGTTTTGCAGGGTAACTCAAAAGCAAAGAACTAGAGATCAAAGAAAACATGAGGGTAGGTTGCAAATGCCGTGCTTTCGGGGCTTGTCAGAGAAAAAGAGAGATGGCAAGACGGACCAGAACGGGAGGACAGGGCCAGGCCTGCCCATGGTCGTGTTGGCTTTTGTCCAGAGCAGGACATTCTCCGGGGAAGTGCTTTCATGGTGCGGGAATCCGTTCAGCTAGGAAAGTAAACATGTTTGAGAGTTCTCTTCATGCAGCCCACCTGCCACCTCTGTCCAGGTAGGAAGAGGTGAGAAGGAGGTTGGGGGTCCCCTTTTTAACCAAGGGCACTGGTCACTGTGATTTTCCACATAGACCCTTTGTTCTTTTCTTGGTTAAGTTGCTATCTAAATCCTTAAACGTTCCTCCGTTGCTTGGAAAAAATTCTTCTTTGCAGAATAGCACGTACTTGGGTATGTTCGTGCTTACTCAGTCTTTGTAGAACAAAGTAATGCTGCACACTCGTAGCTTTTTAAAAAGTAGCCAATGCAATTACTTTGCACAGAGAATAACAATGTGAATGAAACCAGAATGAAAATCTGACCTGCTCCATACTCATCTAAGTACTGAATTCCATGGAAACTATTGGAACCACACAGAACTTCAGAGGGAGTTCAAAGCTCTCTACCTGGTGGTCAGTGCATCTGCCCGGCAGCTTCCCCTCGTCTCTCTAGAACAGGGGTGGGCAAACTTTTTGACTCGAGGGCCACAATGGGTTCTTAAACTGGACCGGAGGGCCAGAACAAAAGCATGGATGGAGTGTTTGTGTGAACTAATATAAATTCAAAGTAAACATCATTACATAAAAGGGTACGGTCTTTTTTTTTTTTAGTTTTATTCATTTCAAACGGGCCGGATCCGGCCCGCGGGCCGTAGTTTGCCCAAGGCTGCTCTAGAATGACCGGCTGTTCTGAGGGAAACCCCAGAACTGAGGGGTGTCCCGGACTCGGGACACTCAGTGCTAACACCAGAACATTTGGGCACCTGGCTCTCACCTCCACCAAAACTCCTTCCAAAAGTCCATCTTCAATGCAGGATCGGTTTCATGTGGAAAGTGAATAAACAGCAGCAGTGAAGAGGAGAGAGGGAAAGATGGGCATCCTTTGGCATCCATAATGTGGAAAGAAATATATTCAAGGAACAAGAACGCATTTCACATGAGTTCTCAGAATCAACCTCCAGCCTGCGTGGCATGACAATGGTGTGGCTTCCAGGCGGGCTGCCAGGGCCAGCTTTTCACCTTCCAAATCATTCACTCAACAAGCACCAACCGAGGTCCCCCCGTTGACCAGGCTTGGGGTCCAGTGTTGGGGTCCAGAGACGAAGATGTGTCAGCCTGGCCCCAGGAGAGGCTCATGGGCTAGAGTCCAAGTAGAGGAGATGGACAGCCACGTCTAACACCATGTGATCAATCATCAGAGCTCCCAGCTCTCAAGAGCCAGACATTTGTAGACCTTACCTGTCATTCTTACAACTACACCTCAAGGTGGGTATTATCATCCCCACTTTAAAAAACTAAAAAACAAACTGAAGCTCAAAGAGGTGGGACTTGCCCCACATCTCCCAGCTAGCAGTGGCAGAGGCAGGCTGTACGCCAAGATTCCCAAAACTCTGCTCACTCTACTATTCTCAAGTCCCTTTCAGTGTGATCAGGGTGAAGATCAAGGTTGTTGAGACTTCTGCACTTACTGCACCCTTTCATCAGAGAGCAGCTATATCTACACTCTGAGTTGAGAGCAAAATAGCCAGGTTTTTAACACTCATATTAATGAGAGGGGCAGATTGGGGGTAGGGGAAGGCTGGATATTTGTGTTTAACTAGCAGGTAATTGGAAAGTGCTACTGGTAATTGGAAGACGGCATACAAAGAAGAAAATATCAGGCTTCCTGACATTGCATTTGGCACTGATCTCCTTGGATAAGACACCAAAGGCACAGGCAACAAAAGAAGAAAATAGACAAATTGGACTTGATCTAAACGAAAAACTTCTGTGCATCAAAGGATGCTATTAAAGCAGTGATTCTCAACCTTCTGGCCCTTTAAATACAGTTCCTCATGTTGTGACCCAACCATAAAATTATTTTCGTTGCTACTTCATAACTGTAATGTTGCTACTGTTATGAATCGTAATGTAAATATCTGATATGCAGGATGGTCTTAGGCGACCCCTGTGAAAGGGTCGTTCGACCGCTAAAGGGGCCGCGACCCACAGGTTGAGAACCACTGTATTAAAGTGAAGAGGCTACCAACAGAATGGGGGAAATATTTGCACATTACATATTGGATAAGGCATTAATATCCAGAATATACAAAGAACGACTAAAAATCAATGACAAAAAAATAAGAACACAATTAAGAAATGAGCAAAGGACTAGAATACATAGTTCTCCAAAGAAGATACACAATGTCCAAGAAGCACATGGGAAAATGCTCAACATCATTAAACATCCGGGGAATGAAAATCAATACCACATCACTTCACATCCATTAGGATAGCTATCATTAATTTAAAAACCAGACAAACAAAACAAAACAGGCAATAACAGGTATTGGCAAGGATGCAGAGAAATCAGAACCCTTCTGCACTGTTGGGAATGTAAAATATTGCAGCCCCTGTGGAAAATAGTATGGCCGTTCCTCTAAACACTGAAAACAGAACTACCTTACGACCCAGCAATTCCGATTATATACACAAAGGAAATGAAAGCAGGAAAATGGAGAAATATTTATACACCCATGTTTATAGCAGGATTATTCACAATAGCCAAAAAGTGGAAGCAACCCCAGTTTCCCTTGAAGAATGAATGGGTAAACAAAATGTAGTATACACATGCAAAAGAATATTATTCAGCCTTTCAAAAGGAAGGAAATTCTAACACATATTATAAAATGAATGAACCCTGAAGACATGTTAGGTGAAATAAGCCAGTGACAAAGAGACAAATACTGTGTAATTCCACTCATATGAGGTACTTAGAGTAGTCAAATTCATACAGGCAGGATGGAGAGTGGTTGTTGCCAGGGGGGTTAGGAGGGGGTGAGAGTTGGTATTTAATGGGTACAGTTCCAGTTAGAGAAGCTGAAAAAGTTCTGGGGATGAAATGTGGTGATCCTTACACAGCAGTGTGGATCTCCTTCATGCCATTAAACTATATACTAAAAATGGTAAATTCTGTTATGTGTATTTAACCACAATTTCTAAATGGCATACAGAGCACATGTATCTACAGACCTCAATTTCCACCCAAAAGTCCCTTTAATAACAGAAAAATATGCTCTTAAAAAACCCATTAGGTAGGGAGTTGTTTGATGGGCACAGTTTCAGTTTTGCAAGGTGAAATTCATTCTGGAGATCCAGGGTGATCAGGGTTGCACAACAGCGTGAATGCACCTAACCCTACTGAGCTAGACACATGAATACAGTTAAGATGGTAAATGTTATGTTATATGTATTTTTACAACAGTTAAAACAAAAAACCCATTAGAACACTGGAAAGCAAGGATGGGGGCTACCAATGCACCAGAAAATGTGAGGAATTTCTGGATGATAGGAAGCAGATGGAATTGGACTGACGGAGAAACAGGAAGAAACTTCACCTTGCAATCCAGGTGTACCTCGGAAATATTGTAGGTTCAGTTCCAGGCCTCCATAGGGAAGGGAGTCCAGGCATCCCTCAGGGATACAGGTTGGGTCTGAGACCACCACAATAAAGCAAGTGTTGCGACAAAGTGAGTCAGACTCTTTGTACTAGTGGACAGCCTTGCCTTCCATTGGTTAAAAGAAAAAAAAATGCACACTTGTGAAGAAGTGCAATAAAGCAAAATGCAAGAATCCCTCTGTGAAAAAGGGTCAAGAAAGAGAAAGAGTGATTGTCTGAGCAATGGACTGGGTGCTCTGTGAGAGTGGGCCTTGGTTACACCCGGAGGGCGGGTTCGAGCATAAATTGCTGGGCCCCACCCCAGTTTCTGGCCCAGTGGATCATGGGCGAGGCCTGAGGATTTGCATTTCTGATGAGTCTCCAGTTGATCTGCTGCTGCTGGTTCGGAGACCATGATTTAGGAACCACTTGGAGGAGCAGCTGGACCTGCTGGCCCTTCCCCCACTTCACCTCTAAGGAGAGACTCGCAGCAGCATCTTTCTCCAGTGAAAGTACCGAGTGTAGACTCTGCAGCCCCAGATTTCTAGAAAACTCAAGGGCGGCGACAAGAGATCTCCACACTGGAGCCACCAGCACACGGCCTGTCCCCCATGACGACGGGAGGCGGCGACCTGGTCCATTCTGACAGTCGTCAGAGCTCAGCAGACATTTCTAAAGTCAAAGAGCAGAAGGCAGCCAAGAAGTGCCAAGTAGC